TTGTTGTCTGAACTAGAGAATCTTAGCGGATGTCCTTGGCCTCCTTGAGGTACAGAGAAGGCAGCGACAAAGGAGGGTGTCAGGTTGAGGGGTGGTCAGCTGCAGCTTTCTGCTGCGCTAGAACAGCCCTCAGGGCCTGAGGCGTACCACTGAGCCCTGACCTCGGTATGGGTTCCCCTTTACTATTAGGGGTGAGCCCCCTGGAGGTCTGGGGTGTTCCTTCCTGCGTGCTCACCTTGGGTGGAATCATGTGAATGTGTCAGAGAGGATCTAATCATTCCGCTCCTTAAAAGGATCCGTGATTTGCTGCCTTTCCTCCCCGGCTCTTCCTGACAACTGAGGGACACCTGGAGGAAGGGAAGACATGCACAGAAGACCCTCTTGCATCTCTCTCTTAGGAGCCCTATGTTTATAAAAGTGACACCTCCCAAAGCTGTCTCCATTGCTCCAAATAGAAGCCGCTGATAGGTTTAAGTAACAGCCTTTTACTAGTCGGTACATAAGCATAAGCATAGAGGCATATTTAAGTGAGTGGGAATCAACTCGATGGCAGGGAGTTTGAGTTCAAGTACAAAATATGTGTATGTACGTAGGCGGCTAGGTGGATGTGTACTATACTTGCCAAGCACCTAGTTTATATTTGCATGAGGGTATGTCAAAAGCTAGTGCTACAAAACATTAGACACCTTTACGAAAGAAAGTATCAAAACATGAAACTGTAGTTTCTTGGTATTTCCATGTCTCTAGCCCTGCCCTAGGAGTCTTGGTGGTGTGGTGGGTTATCCCGTTAATTGCAAGTCAGCGCTAAGTGTAAGACCGCACAGTGTTTCATTTCTGTTGAACTTGAGGTCACTGTGAGCCAGATCCAACCCAGTGGCACCTAACAACAGCAGCAACAGCAAGGGTAGATGGGCTAACGTTTCCCAACAAAAGCTTCATAGGATGGCTCTAGCCATCTCTGCAGAGTGAGCAGCTGCATTGCTGTGAGGGGACACCCCCCACTGGAACTATCCTGGCCCTTTTTCCACCAAAGCAGCTTTCTGTTTTCTTAAACTGTCGTCATTAGAAGCCACATGATCATAATTTGCCCTTCATGAAAATCTATCATGATTACCCCTTTGGAGATAGAAAAAGTCACTGTAACCTTCTGGGCTGATCCCTACCCCTTTAATTGAATTGGTTCTGCAAATGCCCTCATTGGACCTTTTCTGTAAGTCTTAGTAAGAGATATACATTGCTGAGGGGATTTGTTGCCATCTACCGACTGCAGGGAAATGCTTAAACACATTTTGTTTGGACTAAGTGTGCACGTGGATAAATTGATTTACTGCATGTAGTAGCAATCCATTTTTATTCATCCTTGTAAATGTGTACAAATTATACATTGACTCCATCAAATGAACTCAAGAACCTTCACGAGTAGTTTATGCTGCCAGACGGTTAGTGTTCATCATGATTATGAAAACAATACAAAGAACAACCAGAGGGGCCAGGGAGGACTTTATGGAAGAGTGGAGGACATTTCAGGAGCCCTTGTGCCACCTTGGGTTAAGCATTGGGTTGCTAACTAGCAAGTCGATGGTTAAATCCCACCAGACTCTCAGCAGGAAAAAGCGGAGGCAGTCTGTTTCTCTAAAGACTTACAACCCTGGAAACCTACGGAGCAGTTCTACTCTGTCCTGTGAGGTTCCTCTGAGTCAAAATTGACTGGCAACCAATGTGTTGGGCTTGGGTTTGAGTTTACAGGGCATTTAGAAGCCCAGAGTAAGGTAGTTTGGGATCAGCCATTTGGTCCCGCTAATCACTCTGCAAGATAAAGATGTAGAAGTCTGCTTCCGTAGAGACTGACAGCCTTAGAAACCCTGTGGGCCTCTTCTGTGGACCCACTGGCAATCGAGTTTGGGTGTGATGGGTCATTAGCTTAACCAACCATTGGGTGATTGGTAAGACATAACAAGGCTGTGAAAGAAAGGTACTTCTGTAAAAAATGGTGATATGGAAAGTATTAACTCTATTTAAAGGATATTGAGCACATTGCTTTTATTAGAATAGCTAATGTGAATATTAAGATGAAAGAGAATAAACTCAAAGCCTTTCCACATGTCTGGGTGCATCCCAGGTATTACAGATTGAGTTGTGTCCCTCTCTCACCTTTTCCAAAAGATGTACTCTCGTTCCTGACCTCTGTGCTTGTGGTTGTAATCCCATTGGGAATGGACAGCCTTATGTTAATGAGGCAGGGTCAGGGTACGGTGTATTTTGAGTTCATCTCCTTTAAGAGAAAAAACCAGAACCACCCTTGCCCTCAAAAAAACCCCAGAAACAAAAACCTTGCTGCCATCTAGTCAGTTCTGACACAGAGCAGCCCGATAAGACAGGGTAGAACCGCCCCTGTGAGTCTGACACTAGAGCTTAAATACGCAAGTTGGGGTGGAGATCCCACACTAGATGAAGATTGCTCAGCAGCAGAAGCTAAAAGGAGGTAAGTGCCTTTCCCCCAGAACCAACAGAGGGGGAAAAGGGTTTCCCTAGAGGTGGTGCCCTGACTGCATTCAGATTTCTCACCTCCTGAACTGGGAGGACAAAAAAAATCCCATCTGTTTGTAAAAGCTACCCACTTGTGGGGTTTCTGTTATAGCGGTACCAGATAATCAAGAACCCTGGTGACCAGAGTGTCCATTAACCCATTTTTTCTGTTTCT